ACGAAAACATGCAGTGTATCAGACTAGCGTATCGTCTCTACGTCTGGATGCCGGTAAAATCAAAACGCTAGAGACCCTTGACTGGGTTCGTTTGCAGTGCCCGAACAAACTCTTTCCGGAACAACCGATTGACTATATCTCGAACGTCGAATTGTTCCGAATAGCAAGTGTTATTGAGCATTAATGCAATCTGATTCGCGATCATTTCCTTTGGTTAGGCTATTTTAGGCAAATGCTTGAAGGCTGAGTTCCACTGTCATCTAATGTGTGGAGTTCGGAATTGAGGACGCTGGAAGGTTTTTCGCTGAGAAAACCTTCAGGTAAATTAGAACATGCGGCAATCGACGGCAAAAACTAGAAAACAGATTCCAAAGTATCTGTGACAAGCTTTGAGACAGCATACTTCTCAGTGCCGCAAACAAACGAGAGCCTTGCAAGGAGGTCAATCCCCTTAGCGAGTACTCGGTCGCTAATGCGCACGCATATGTCTTAGCAGGATCGATCTTGTGAATCATCGACCTACCAGCTATACCTAGCCAAGTAAAACCAGTGTAATTTTGTTTCAACTCCTAATTAGTGCCTGCCTAAAATGTTGTCATCCTACGTACATAAATCGGTGGTCAGACGGATGATGAACTACCTACACGTTATATATGACCATCTCGAAAATGCTATTGGAGGAGATAAAGCACCACACTGAAATTTGAAGGTACTGACGGACGACACCATACAAAGTACTTGGTACCAGCGCTCAGCGTTCTACCATCCCGTTTGGGCCAACTGATGACTCCCAATAGACCTGTGCGTGTCCGGCGCTGATATAGTTCTCTGGATACTACAATGGAACCACGGGCTCGTACACAGGACCACGTGCGCTCGGCGGAACTGTCTACGGCCGATCAGCAATACACAAGAACCCAGTGGTTCAACCATCGTTGACCGACAAATCCAATTCCACCCACATCCTTCCATCATAAATAATAATGCAAATTTAGCTCAATTCTTGTACAAAATATGGTAAAACTGAAATTACCGTATGGATATAGGAGAGGGGAAAGACGATCCCACATCAATGAATTATCCTTGCATTCTTTTTTGGTAGGTAATTTAGATGTGTTACAGTTTACTTTGGTGAGCAATTCGGGTTTAAACTCTGGAAATAAACATATTTTCATTTCCGATCCCAGTTGTTAATTTCCGACTTATCACGGTTCCACGATACTCTTGAAAACTGAGTCCAGAAAGCAAAGTAGAGGGAAATTGAGAATGTCAAAATCTTCAGGAGCCCGTTTTACATCTGCGAATGCTCTTTATAACATATAAATGGATTACTTCGGAGATATTTCCCTCTATCTGGGGGCACCATATATTCTAACCTTTTTTTATTCTTCATGAAGGTGCGAACCTCTTTTTAAGGGAAACAATCTCCTGGGTGTCTCTTGCGTAGGCTTATTGTTGATGTAAAGTTCGGTCGGAACAGAAATTTTATGTGAAGAGTCTGTCTTACACAGCGTTTGGGTTGTTCATTGCTTTCAGGCAGCATATCCTAATTACAGATCAACGATCCAGCATGATTCACGTAAGGCGACTCATTTGCAGAGCAAATTGGTGTTACCCAGTGACTCAATCGGTTTCAGCTAAATCTTTCGCTGAGGATATTTTTCAGTTGGATGTGCTGAAAAAGGTCGCCTCATTTCTTAGTTGATACAATATTCGAGATAACGCAGTATATGTACTTCAGGGGGCACACTACTCATAAGGTTGCTGGAAACTTTTAGATAATCCACGACCGGTTTTGCCAATCTTGGGGCTTATCAGGTGACGTTGTTCCCGTCAACCGTATGTTTTACTTGAACCCATACCATACGGCATTTGAGAAGTGCATTCGCTTGGGAACTCAGGATTGCGCCTGATGAGCCTCAAGAATAACGAATCCGGTGGGGGATCTCGCCCAGTTTCCAGCTAATTTATGAGTAGTGTCTTCCGTCAAAATTATTGCCATTTGCTCACTCATGGGAAAGCACGTAAACAGCACTCTACATGAATGAACTTTGAAGGATTCGGTATTATTTCAGTATGGATATTCTTTGAAAAGCGGAGAGGTACATCAGACATGGGAAATTCGACAGATGAATAACAGACTGATATGGTTTTTCACCCACTCATATACACTCACTCTTTACACACCCACTCATATACACTCACTCTTTATGGCATGTATGAGTTTTCTTGAGCACTTACGAAGGATTACCTTGTCGTCTGCGTGATTTCAGGCGCCTAAGTTGACTTTAGCCTTACGGCGCCCTTCAAACGCATGAAACAAATTGAACTAGCTCCCGTTTGTACTGAAAACATGCAGCTTTTACAGACTTACCGGAAGCGAATTATAGAGAATCGGTGGGCACTTATTTCTGCTTGGCCTGATTAATCCCTATATTTATCAATTTTGTTCAAAGCGACAGAAGGACGGAATGCAGCAAATTTGTGTGGACCAAGATATTGACCAGCTGAACTGCGGGAAAGTTGGCACCAACGCACACGTGACAGTCGGAGTAGGTAACAGCAGCACAGTAACTGCCACGGTGATCGATCGGGGAAGTTCTTCGACAGGGTGCATGGCCGGACTGCCCACATGACCAGTTGTCAAGAAGATGGGACACTAAAATACCAGAACTGGTTATAACAAACCCACAATGGCATTTTACACTGTTAGTTTCAGGAACAACAAAAGGTTTTTGACTAACATCAACAGGTGTTTTGATACCAGAGCAATGGGCCGAAATTCCACAAATGCCATGATCAGTTCAGTAAATGGTGCCACTGAGCACAGCAAAATAATCTCGATGGAATAAATGAATCAGTAGTAATCTTCTTGTCGGTTGATGAGCTAAAAGGGTACTTTGTAGTAAATAGATAAGAAAAGTTCGATCACTTGACTATTGTGTGCGGAGATTCGGCAATTGTTAATTAAGAGTTTGTTCTATCATCTAAGCCAATCCAGGCTGAAATCAAAGAAGCACTGTACAGCTGTCTCATCCTTATTGAGAATTATCAGCATTCGGCATCTCAAGAAACTCAGTTTCAAATCCACGACCTTCGGCCAAGAGCGGCTGATCAGCAGTGTGATTAGCTCTCAACTGGTGGAGTAGGGCGACAGGGTTACTTGGTTTCCTCAGCTAAGACAAAGAAGACTAAGTTGGTGCCTACGGGGAACGGTCTTGAAGCACCGATGGCTGGAAAGAGCTCATACGCAGTCAAATCGGTTACCGTCGATTTGCGTAGTTCTTGCCGCGATACGATACACAGAAGATCACAGTTTTTTGTATCGTAGTCACAGATTTTATAGAGTTTCGTAAGACTCCAGATACAAAAGCTTAACTGGTGTCTAGGCCACTGGATTCCACAAGCCTCAATTTTTTGATCAGAGACTTCCTGGACTGACCGAAAATCACGTGGCCAGTCAATCGGCTCTTAATTCTACGCGACTGTCAAATTTTACGTTTTAACAAAAACTTTGACTACGTTGACCATTTTTCAGTTCGATAAACTAATTCTCCCTTCTAGTTGATTAGCTTACCCTACGTATGAACGAGTTGTTAGTTGCGATATCCAGGAGGCGGTCTTGGTTTACGTTGTGTGAAACCATGGGAATTTCTAGACTTTTTCATAGTAACGAATTCACCAAATGTAAATCGAATCAAGAAAACCGACAGAAACAAACGAAAGTTCACTCAAGAGAACCTTGAGGGTTTACAGCTCTAATTGGTCAAACTGCTGCTATTGTTTGCCGGAAAGACACTCCTAAAAGCGACCACTCCTAAAAAATGTTCAATTGCTGCTCCCAACTTTCACAACATCTCAAAAATGTATGCAGTAAAAAATACAATTGAGGCTGTTAGGCATCTGTTTTGTTGACAGTTAGTACTTACGCACGCAAGCCAAGAGGTCTTCGCCTATTCAGAAATTATAGACAATTGACTTTTCGTACCAAAACCTATTGAGTGAAGCTATAAGTGGATTGTAAATTCTCTTGGTCGCCAGCTTCAACAATATGCATGCGCGACCGATAGGAGAAGCACACACTGACAACGTTTATTCGTTTTGTTGGACTCCTTTGCTGTTTTTTGGTGGCATACACACAGAACCGTTTGAAGTGTAAGAATTGAGTTAAACAAGTTAAGTTAAGTAAGCAAAAAATCTACGAATTTGCGGCTGTATAATGGGTTTCATGTTAAAGTGGTCAAGGATATCACAAAAATCACTAGTTTAACCATGTGCTTATGACAACTTTTTACAGTATTGCTATGGTGTTTCTTGTTGTTGGTTTGACAGGGAACAAGTGCGGCTACGGTCAAAAAGTCTACTTTGAAATATCCTGCGTTTATAAGAGATTTGGTTAAACACAGCTGACGCTTATCCAACATGTTGTTTTTTGGAGCACAAACCTATTCCCTCTCTCATAAATTATACTGAAACCCGTGCGTCAGTTTGCACCTTTCCAACGGACAAACGAAGCAAAGAAGCTGTCATCTACTTTCGCATTTTGAAACGTTTTCTCTCACCAGTCAAACGCAAAATGCAAATGAATCAGGTTGGGAATCTGACACCTACTGAAGTGCTTTTGGGTTTACACAAGTCACTGGTGTTTTGCACAGGCCGACTGCAACACAGGAGACAAGAAGAACTCGGATACTGAACCTAATTACGTCAAATCGAAGAAGCCAGCCACCCATTATTTTCTTCTCCCACATTGGCCTATTCCCAAGAGACGTCTAGGAAAATAAATAACTTTTCAGCTTTAAGACCCTCTCGGCACCAAATTGGCCTATCGCCCGAAAGAACGATGAGGGATTTTTTGGTACTGTCCCAACAGCGATGAGGTTTCCTACTAGATACCAGCCTACGAGAACGCTGCCGATTCGTTGTCTTCAAACACATTACACTGAAACACAAAACCTTAAGACTACTGATGTTTCAGAAGTTTCAAGTTTAAACTAGCGATGCCGGCGCGTCCAGTCACTAAGAGAGATATTCTCTCCTGTGCGGTTTCGTGATATGATCCTTTGGGCTACGTTTTGCCCCTATTGTTACAGCCAAAACAATTGTTACAAGAGCTCCGTCGATCAATTTGTGGCTGGGATAAAGCAGTAAATCAAGATGTTGAAGTGGCTTGGAGAAAATGGAGAAATGACATTCAAATTGTTGAGTCATTAGTTATTCATTAACAGTTTGCTCTCGAACATCAGTCGTTGCATGTTTTCTCTGACGTATCCGAGGTCGGTTATGGAGCCGTAGCCTACCTGAGATGTGAGTCAGTAGAGCAAGTTCGCTGCAGTTTTTTGATGGGGAAATCAAGAGTAGCGCCCCTCGAGCCAGTAACTATTCTTCGCCTCGAACTTCAGGTTGCGGTATTGGCGGTTAGACTAATGCGTCACCTGGTGAAGCAACTAGAAGCCCGGTTTAACAAAGTATACTTTTGGACTGACTCAGTGGTTGTGCTGCATTATATTTTTAGTACAAGTTCGACGTTTAAAACTTTTGTGGCCAGCAGGTTATTTCCATACATGGAAATACCAACACTTCTCAATGGAGATATGTTCCAGCCAACGTGAACCCTGCTGAATGTGCCTCACGTGGCATCCGTACAAAACACCCTCAGCTGTTGTAACTTTTTGAATTCAAGGTCCTGAATTTCGGAAGCTTGATGAGCACAAATAGCCTAATACTGAAGTCCAACAACTAAACTACCAGGCCACGGATCTGGAATCGAATAGGATCGCCTTCGTTTTAGCTACGGTGAAAGCAACCCTGTCGACCTGAAAACCGGTCCAGATGTGGCAGCCTATCCCGGTGCCTTTCACCGCGAGTTCATTTATATCAATGGCCTTCGTGCTATCCACCCTCGAGTACTACGGACAGAACAGCATTACGAGTGCAGATCATTGCCACTGAATCGGTCAAGAATGACTGCAGTCAGTTTATGGGAACTCCGAGTCATTTTTTTTAAAAAAAGGACGTGGATGGTTTGAAGGGTACCTTCTCGAAATCACTTCGCCAGACTCCGGCCTACCGCTGAGAAACAATAAAATCGATAAGAAGTTATGATGCCTCGGACTTTATGGAAGCGCGCGAAGCCCGGCGTTCGAGACATGAGACTACTTCGGGCAATGAATCAGATTAGACATACATTGGAGGCGACGTAACCCAACGCCGCCATCTTTGTTTCTTATGTGGAACTCACCGAAGATATCATCCCGATTGGTGAATAAATGTTTGCAATCCAACCACCAAACTCGGCGAGCAGATTAAAAACGAATTCTTGGGAGAATGATACACAACCATGGCTATTTCCATTCATGAGATTATCCGTTCTTACAGTCAGCCCAACTTGACAGCAATGTGGTTCTGAGACAGAATTTTTTTATGATAGTTCATCAAGTAAAGCAGACCATGAAAACGTCAGGAATGGGGCAAACGGTGCCGGACAAATATAGGTTAGTAGGATACGGTTGTTTAGTCTGAATCTTCATTCTGTGTATTCGGATTTAACACTGCTATACCTACCGTTGACCGGATCGCAGTCTGTAAGTATTTAATAGGAGAAGATGTACCTGGGTCGGCGTCAGTTTTGTATTGTACACGCACCCTTCGTTTAGTGTGTAAAACATCCAACATTATGGGTGAAGTGCGATAAGTGTATGCGAGATCGCTCATGCCAGGCGATGCAGCTGTCACTGAATTTTCAAATGATGTCTTTGGAGATAAAAAATTCTTTGGAAGTATTGAGCTGCTCCTACGAAGGGAAGTTCGACAGTTAGAATAGGCATAAGATATTGTTTTTACTATCGGGCTACGGTTCCTGGATGGCCTCAAACTCGATCTGGTAGGTTGTTGCCACTTGGTCGGCATGAACCGTATGTTCGTTATGGCCTTGAAGCCTGGGATGTAAGTTGAAGAGGCTATTGATAACAAGGCGGATACTCATCGTACTTGTACTGGACTGGCATTCTTAGAGGCGTCGTGAATCGATCTAAGGCCACAAGAGCCCGTATATAATATTTCTGTACAGGCAGTCCTAGAGTAAAGTAGTGATGCATGTCTCTTACCGGCTTCGAAAATCCGGCGCCTCAACATTTCCAGTCAAACGAAACTTCGTGCGTGTGATAAGAACATATTATGATTGATGATGTAGCATGCTGACGTTTTTCGTCTAGCACAGTGACCACACAGCACAAATTAAGACCACGTTTCCCGGCCGGTTACTTGCCACGATAGGAGTGGAAGTAGATGAGATCCTCAGAGTTTCAGAAAATATTACGTCGCAGTTGGATTTTCGCGTAGTTTTAAAAAGTTATAGAAAGACTTCTTGCGGGAATTTCTTGAATGGCTAAAAACTACTGGCCAAGTAGACATTGTCTAAGAACGCCCACACCTATCATTTGACATTAGATCACCGAATTAGGCGAATATTCAGATAAGCCAGACAACGGTAACTGGAGAATAAACAGAATCCTTCGTTTGTAATAATTTCCAAATGGATGTGCCACATTCGTTCCTTTCGGACGATATTCAAGGTGTCCGAGTAGTTCCTTGAAATAACGCTATTTATGAGTCCTTCAACAGCGCACTGAAGATGTCTCCTCGAATGGTGACGAAACGTTTGCAAATCAATTACCAAGCTCGGCGAGCAGATCAACAGCCACCTGATCCAATTACCAACAATACACCCGAGCTACCAATATTCCAAAACATTACCAGGTAAGTTTCTGTTTTGGAATTCATGGACGATTCCTGGAATTTATGGCCGGAAAGATCACAGTGGACTTGTTTGATACAGCGAAATCGCGCAGCCGTTGAGGATTTTAATAGTGGGCATTGGATGTCAACAGAGAGACACCGAAAAATTAAGGAATTAATAATTGATCCGGGCAGACAACACAAAGGTTCTATTTTGGGGTTAACGAAGTAAACAGAACTGACATGATTCAGTGACAGGAATGAAATATCGATTAAACTGAGGACAAGGTGAGAACTTCAACGACTGACTAGGATTGGGTTGAATTCCAATTCAGTTTTAGCACGAAAGATTCATTGGTATTGAAATGAAAAATGACGGTACACTGCCAGATGGGGTCTCGATGAGGTATTGAGAACCTCTGAGTAAAAAGTCCATTTTAGAAAAGCCAAAAATTTACAAATTTCTCTCTAACTGTATGAGGGAAGGTAAGTGAAAAGTAGGGACAGTTATCGTTTGAATGTGGATGCCGGAGAAGACTGTCCACCGAACAAGTAAGCTCAGGAGGCAGCGCTGTCCAATAAAACGATTCAGTTTCCAAGACAGCAGAAGCGGGGGTTTCCTTTCTGTTCTTGGATTACAAATATTTTCAACACCATATGCTGGAGGTTTTCATTGGAGGGACGTTATCTTTCAAGAAGAGAGTCTGCAAAACTCCGGTAGGAGGCTGCTGTTAAGAGTTCCTGAAGCGGGTATGTGGTAAAAAAATGTAATCAACGAAGCTGGTTGCCCCTCCCCCCGGTTACCAAGCTTGACTTTATGAAAAAGTAGTACTGAATATGGTACAATTTTCCACCGAAGGGATCAGTTTAATGCACACACAAAACAACTGCACCATTAGGCTCCACAGATATTTCATGCACACCAGTTAAAGGAAGAAAGTATGTTCCAGAGTATACAGTGAGTTCATATTAGTCCAATTATGTATGAATATCGTCGTTGGAGCAATGTATCATTTTGTAGGACACTCAGTTGACAGCCAAGACTCGATGGTCTGGTTGTACCATCACCAGAGCCCCCCTAGCCAATGATTAATTGGTTTATAGGATGATGGAGTGGACTTTGAGAGGGCCTTTTTAAAGTGGAGAAAAGAAAACCTCATTTCGGTTCGAAGTCCAGGCGTGGAATCTTCCTAATAACTGTGGCACTGTGGATCAAGTGACAACTGAGGTCTGTGCGCTGTTGGCCTTAACAGCAGTATTCATAAGGCCTAGCTTTCTTGGGAGCCACAGAGAAAGCTCTTATGAAGGGATGTTTGACTACCATAATAATCCATGTTATTAGGTGCAGAAAGCACAATTATCCCGATGGTTGCTGGAACGTAGTTGTTTCAGGCGGCAGCACCCGTCGAAACAAGTTCAACAAAATAATCTTTGATATTTTCACGGTCAACTAATAACGGATTGCACAGAAAACCTGAAATGAACACTTTCACCACACCAAACAACTACACGTCATAGATAACATGGTCAATAAGCCGTATAGATCAGCACGTCTCTTCTAGCTAGGATGAAGGAGAGATAATAATCATAGTCGTAACGAGGAAGTCCCCAGGTGTAGATGCAGAAAAGGAATCTACAAACCGTTTATCGGTAGTGCTTTAGCGTGTCACAAAATGCTGTCCTGGGTACGGGATGTTGAGATTTCTTCAGCGGATTGGGATATCCATAAACTGTTTCTGATGGCCAAAAGGTGACAGAATGGTACACGAGAACTACTGAAATATCCCAGTCAACATATTTACCATAGCACTGCTGAACTGCCCCAGAGGAGTAAGAACGCCTTCTGTCAGACTGAATCAGATAGGCCCCCATTTGGGAGGTTACATAAATCAAATATTCACGATGTGTTGTGTTTCACTAGTTTCACTGACTTCCGCACAGTATTTGGTGGAAAAACCCCGTCACGAAGAGACTGGACCTTACCGTGGTGTGGCGGTTTGTGTACCTCGGAGACCTATTGAGCTGTACTGGGGAGTATCCGCACGATACTCACAGAGTCTCTCTTACCAGGTTGGTCCATGGGCAGAGGTCCGACGAACACAGTCTCCTGGCCCTCCAGGTTGGGGGTTGGAACATGTACGGCAACTTGTTCCGTAAAAAAAGAAGGTAATGTACTTGCATTTCCAGCCGGAAATCGCTGCCTTGCGGTTAGGCTTTTGAGCCAAAGGCTTTGGTTGAGAACCCTAAACGTCCTCCTGTCTAGGTGTGGGCGCCCTGGCAGTATCTCAGCCCTCGTACAACCATGGCCTACACAACTAACAATACTCTCATGCCACATCGGTCGTCGCAGGGTGCCATCAGCCGGGTCGCCTTACTTGCTGCATACAGCAGGGCGGGTAAGCAAAAGCATGCTACTGCTGACGCCTCCCTTCTTACACTTTCACGTTTTCCGTCTTCCACCCTCCCCCGCCCAAATTTGAATACTTTATCCGCAGGTCCCAGCTCTAGGACTGACCGTTTTGCTCGCCCTGCATCACACTCAGCTGCAGCTTCTGCACGTCCGAGTTCAGTTACAACCCTAAACACTTCGAAGTCTGTTTTCAAACCCCGAAAGCCTGTCTACTTAGCCACTTTCAATGTTCGCACACTGAAGCAAGCAGGTCAACAGGTGGCTCTTGCGCGTACGCTGGATTCCCTCTGTATTGATGTATGTTGTCTGTCAGAAACAAGGACGCAGGACGCAAGTACTGTAATCGAACTGACTGCCCCCTCGCTCTCTTCCAGGTTCCGACTGCGCACCTCTGGTGATGCAGAGGCCGCTGCAGCTGGATATGCTGGGGTGGGTATTGTATTGAGCGAACGAGCGGAAGCGTCT